GGCTGCTTGATCCCCTCCCCCCCCCGCCCGCGATGGGCTATGGGAGGGTCCTTGCCCCCTGGGGTGTCCCCAGCCTTTCCCCCGGTGATGTGGGGGTCTCTGTCCTCTGTGGCATCCTTCCCACCCTGACCAGCATGGGGGTCCCTGCACCCTGGGGGGGGTTGGCGGGGGTCCTTGCCTTCCCTGGGGGAAAATGAGAGGCTGCAGTTCTCCCTCCAGCCTTGCAGGAGGTCTTGGGGTGCCCCCTGGCCAGTCCCCCCTCTCCACAGGGCTGTGCTGGAACCCCCAAGTAGAGGGGCTGAGTGGGATGCTTGCCGGCGAGCGCTTGGTGGTTGCCCAGGCTGATGGTGGGTTGGGGTCCCTCTCTCCTGCAGCGCCTGCCAGCCCCACCTGTGCAGCCTCACGCCAGGCTGCCTGCGGTGCTGCCTGCATCCCCGTTCCCTGGCTCTGCGACGGCGAGCAGCAGTGTCCTGATGGGACAGATGAGCAGTGCGGTGAGCGGGGGAGAAGCTGACACCCATCCTCAGTCGTGGGGTGGCTGGGGGACTGGTGCTCTGGTGGGGGGTTGTGGGGTATGGCAGACCAAAGGCACCTTGCTGGCTCTGCCAGCGGCTCCTGTGTGGCACCCTGCATGGACCTGAGTGCCACAAAGCTCCTGGGGGATGTCCAGGGTATGGGAACGTATCCTGGATCCTATGCTGAACGAGACAGCCCCCACCTGCTAGAGAGCCCTGTTGGGGGCTGCTGTGGGCCAGCCCTTTGTCATTACCAGCACCTGCCCTATGCCAGGATGGAGGGGACCCCTGTAGCTTTTCTGGAGTAAGTAGGTCCCAGTGACCGTGTGGTGTCCCTGCAGATGTCGCCTGTGGTGGTGACCCCCACGTTTGGCAGTGTGACGATGGCGGGTGTGTTTCTAGCAGCTGGCGTTGCGATGGTGCTGCTGACTGCTTGGATGGCTCTGATGAGCAGGACTGTGGTACGTAGTCTGAGCTGGGGGGGGTGGGGGCTGAGGAGAGGTGGCTGGGGGCACAGAGCCAGGTGTGAGGTGCTGCTCTGTCCCCTCAGTGTGTGGAGCAAAGAAGGTGCAGTGTCCTGGCACCCACCACTGCATCCCGCACTGGGAGCTGTGCGATCGGCACCAGGACTGCGAGGATGGCTGGGACGAGGAGGGGTGTCCCCAGCAGCCCTGTCTGCCTGGGCAGTGGCAGTGCAGGAACAGGGTGTGCATCATGGCCGAGTGGAAGTGCAACGGGATTGATGACTGCGGCGATTCCTCGGATGAAGATGTCTGCGGTAAGTGGGCACCCTGGATGCTCTGTGACGGGGCGAGACCTGTCCAGGCCTTGTGTGAAGAAGGGGGTGCTTTCCCTTCCTGGGCATCAGCTCCCCTTGGGGTGGTGGCAAGCATCCCAGGAAGCTGTTGATGCTTTGCGAGGCCTCCCCACGGCTTCCCCTGTGCCCACCTGGTATGGGTCTGCCCTCCTGATATGAGCTGTGTGTGCCGTAGCCCCCTGCCCACCTGGCATGGTGCGGTGCGATGAGGGAAAGTGTATCCTGGAGTCCTTGATGTGCAACGACGAGGACGACTGCCTGGATGGTACTGATGAGCCCAGCACATGTGGTGAGTTGTGTGTGGCCACTGCCCATGTGGCTGGGCAGGGGGGAGCCGGGGAGCCCACCTCATGTCACCCCTCCAATGTGTCCCCCACAGGTCGGAGCTGCTTTGTACGCAACGGGGGCTGTGCGGAGACGTGTGCTGACACGCACTGGGGTGTGCAGTGCTCCTGTGGGACTGGCTGGGTGCTGCAGGCTGACGGGCAGAGCTGTGCTGGTAAGGAGAGGGTCAGGGCACCCATGATTTGGGCACACAAGGCCTCGGCTGCCAAGAGCTGGGTCTCCCCAGAGCCAGCGCTGTGAGGGAACGCCTGCCATAGCACCGCTCCAGCCTGGGCATCATGGCTGGCCCCGCAAAGGCTGGGTCTGGGTCATGTCCCCTGGTGTGTGCTGGGACGCAGATCTTGGTACCTTAGGGAGCCTGCCTGTGGTCCTTGGGCAAGCAGTGGCCATGCTGCCTGGGGGCAGCTCGCCCCAGCCCTGCAGCAGGCTCCTGGCAGCACCTATCAGCCTGGAGAAGAGAAGGCTCCGGGGAGACCTTATAGCGGCCTATAGAAGGGTGCCTATAGAAGAGCTGGGGAGGGACTCTTTGCCAGGAGGTGTAATGACAGGACAAGGGGAAACGGTTTTAAATTGGAAGAAAAAAGATTCAGATTAGATCTCAGGAAGAAATTTTTTACTATGAGGGTGGTGAGACACTGGAACAGGTTGCCCAGGGAAGTTGTGGATGCCCCATCCCTGGAAGTGTTCAAGGCCAGGCTGGATGTGGCCTTGAGCAACCTGCTCTAGTGGGAGGTGTCCCTGCCCATGGCAGGGGGTTGGAACTAGATGATCTTTGAGGTCCCTTCCAACCCTAACCATTCTATGATTCTATCCTTGCAGATGTGGATGAGTGCTCCCTGGAGTACAGCCCCTGCAGCCAGCTGTGCAGCAACACCCCGGGTGCTTTCAGCTGTGCCTGCCTCCAGGGCTACGTCCTGCGGCACGGCACCGCCTGTGAAGTGGCAGGTAGGGTGAGCCGGGGAGCCTGGGCTGTCGGAGGGGCTGGCCAGTCCCCCCAGCTAGCCGGGTCCCTGCTCACCGGGTGACATGCCCCCTTGCCTTGGCAGACAACGCGACGCAGATCTTGGTGGCGGTGGGAGAAGACCTGGCCCTTCTGGATGTGCGGACCCAAGCCTACCGACCCCTGCTCTCCAGCGAGACCGAACCCCGTGCCCTGGTGTACGACCTGCTCCGGGAAACCTACTACTGGCTGACTGAGGATGGCGAGCTCCGTGCTCACCTCCCAGGGAAGGGCACACGGCCCCTCTATGCAGGTGGGGAGAAGCGAGGGTGCTGGGTGCCATAGCGGGGCTGAGATGGGTGTTGAGAGCTGTCCTGCCACCCCAGCCCTGCCTTTCCCATGGAGGAAGGAGCAAACCTGGGTTTTGCCCCCTGGCCTGCAGCAGAAGTGGTGTGTCTTAAACCTCTTTGTCTCTGCAGATGCCGGGGAGGTGAACAGCATCTCTGTGGACTGGTTCACAGGGCAGCTGTACTGGGCCAGCAGCCACCCTACAGCCATCTGTGCGGGTCTGGGCGATGGCCGGGGCTATGTGACAGTGCTGGGGAAGAACGTGGCACCAGAGCAGCTGACAGTGCATCCATCTGCAAGGTGAGGAGTGTGTGAACCCAGGGTTGGCCCTGGGCTCCTGGGTGAGCGATGCCAGTGCTGACCACGTCATGCCTTGCTGTGGGGCTGTGGCAGCACTAGTGTTATGCCATGAAGTGGATGCTTAGTTCCTGCCTCCAGGTCCCTGTACTGGGTCAACCGCGGGCAGAGGGGCCGGACGGTCATTGCTGCAGCCGGCATGGATGGCTCAAACCGGCGGGAGCTCACAGTGGTGTCCATGGAGGAGCCTGTGGGGCTGAGCCTGGACCATGTGGCTGGCAGGCTGTACTGGATCAGCGAGTACAAGGAGGTAGGGATGTGGGGTAGCAGAGCTCTGCACCCCCCAGATGCTGGGAGGTGATGAGGTGGGAGTGGGGAGGGTGGCTCTGGTTCCCTCCTGGCCACGGGCAAGGCATGGGAGGGAGCAGGGAGAGGTGCCCAGGTCTGGCACACATTCCTGGGCTGGGAGAGGGAAGGCAATGAAGGACAGTGCCAGGGTGTGGAGGTGCCACGTGGTAACCATGCCTTGCCTTGTCCCCAGTCCATCGAGACGCTGCGGGTGGATGGCAGCGGGCGCCACTCCTTTCCTGCTGTCCTGCGGAGCCACACTGAGCCACTGGGCCTGGCTGTCTTCGAGAGCCGGTTCTTCTGGACTGATGGCACAGAGCTGGTGTCAGCCACCCAGGCCTCTCCCCAGGAGCACGCAGTGCTGCTCCGTGCCCCCATCTCAGCCTTCACTGTGCTGCATGCGCTGCGACAGCCTCCCCGTGAGTAACCTGCCAGGTGCCCGCGCTGCTGCAGGGGTGGCAGCACCCCCACTACTTCCCTGGGTGCCAGCGAAGGCTGAGCTTGGGTCCTGGAGCCCACCAGGTCCTGGAGCCCACCAGGTCCTGCCTGATGGCTCTTCTGGCCCTGCGGTGAGGGGTTGTGACAGAGGGGACATATGAACCCACAGAAAAGCTGCTGAGTCCCATGGCTTTGGCTGAGCCCTCCTACCACATGTGACGCTGCTACCCTGCCTGGGACAGCCGGTGGTTCTTGGGGGTCGGGAGAGGCGTGGGAGGTCATAGCTGCCTTAGCTATTAATGTCCCCTTGCTCCCAGGGGACACTGCTGCGTGTGCTCCGGGACTGTGCAGCCACCTTTGCCTCCTGTCCCCTGTGCACCCACGGGGCTACAAGTGTGCGTGTCCGGAGGGCCTCTTCCTCCTGTCCTCGGGGAAGTGTGCAGGTGAGCAGGGTCTGCGAGGAGAAGCTGTCCGGGGTGGGATGGATCCCTGTGGGAGCCGGAGTGGGGCTGTAAGGGGCTGCGGCTTTGGTGGGATGAGGTTCCCAGCACACACCAGTGCTGTCGCATTTCTGCCTTGATTCATGCTGGTGGCCCCATCCAGTGCCCCTGGGGCCACGCTCACACACTGCCCTTGTAACCCACAGAGCTGTCCATCGTGTATGCGTCAGGGAAGACCATCTCCCTGGTGCAGGTGGGCCCTGGAACACACATCAAACGGGTGCAGGAGTGGCAGGAGCCCCTTCACCTGCAAGATGTGGACTGGCAGAGGTCGGTGCTCTATGGGACAGATGACCGTGGGACACTGCTGCGTGTCGTGGGGTACCCTGGCAGGGGAGAGGCCATTGCGACTGGGCTGCAAGGTGAGATCCTATGAGGTGATGGAGGGCATGTTCCCCTGCCTGGTGCTCCCTGAGGTCCTTGGTGCAGAGCACAGCAGTCCCATGGTGCCCACGCTGGGGCTGTGCCGAGGCACTGGGAAGCTGTGCCCTGGTTTTAGGGCCAGGGAGGACCCAGGCAGAGGAGCAGGGTCATGGGACATCCCATAACTGCTTGCCTGGCTACTCCTTGCCAAGTCTGCTCTGCCCGTGTGGACATCCGCTCGGGGGACCTCTACTGGCTCGCATGTAACCGGAGGGACATCGGGGTGATCCAGGCGTCTGACATGTCCCCACGCATCCTGCACCGTGCTCGCAGCAGCATCCAGCACCTCTTCTTGGACTGGCAGCGGGGTGCTCTGTACTGGCTGGCCTGGGGGCAGCCCCTGCAGCAGCTCAGCCTGGCTGGGGGTGCCCCCCGGAATGCCTGGAATGAGACGTGGCCTGGAGACCTGCCTGCGGCCATGGATAGCAAAGCCTTCAGCCTGCTCTGGAGCTCAGCCCTGGGTGAGCACTGGTGGTATCTGGAGGAGGGAGCAGAGGTGGTTGCTATGGGCAGGGGTGACCAGCCATACCTACACGCTTATGGAACAGACTGTCCCATGGGGCAGGACCACGGTCTCATCCATGAGGTCCTTGCCATAACTGTGGGTGGTAGGGGCATGGGCTGGGCCACGAGGGGTGCCTCTGGGCACCAGGATACTACCATCCCTCTGCTTCACAGGCCTGCGGGCACTGAGTCTGACCAAGCGGCAAGCAGTCACCCTGGCACCCAGCTGGTCCCATGGCCTTGTGGCCGCCTTCGAGCCGTACCTGGTGTCAGCAAATGGGACTGATCTTCTGCTGTGGGACCGGAGGACGCTGGCCCTCGTACTGTCCATGCCGGCAGCAGGCGTGAAGGGAGTGGTGACCTTTGTGGGCTCGGAGCCACAGGCTGGTAAGACTGGCCATGGCTCTGTGCCTGGTGCTGTACCTGATGGGACTGGGTGGCCTATGCTGCTCTGAGCTGGGGCAGGGTGTCTGGCTGTGGGGTGCTCTTGGAGGTACCTGGGATGTGGGGAGGGCACGGCCTCAAACCCAGGCTCATGTTCCTGTGCCTCTGCCAGTGCCACCAAGCAAGGGGTCTGCCCTGCCACTCCCTCCACCTATGACCACCACTACAAGGACAACCACAAGCACCACTGCTGCTAAGTCCACCACCTCCACCACGAGACCTACGCCAAGGAAGACCACCACTGTGCTCACCACTACTCCTGCACCAACCAGCAAGGCTACCACAACACCAACCACTACCAGCCAGTCCACATCAACCAAGACCACTCCTGCGCTAACCACTGCCCGGACTACACCAACCAAAACCACCACTGTGCGGCCAACCACCACCAGCACCACTATCACTACCAGCACCACTACCACCAGCACCACCACTACCACCACTCGGTCCTTGCCAACCAAGACCACTGCCACACAACCAACTACTACCACCCAGCGCCCAACCAGCCCTGCACGGGTAGTGCCACCTACCCCATCCCTCACAACCAGCCCTGCACGCCCTCTGACCCCAGTCCTCCATCTGTCCTGTCCTCGTACGCATGTGCCCTGCCGTGATGGCACCGAGTGCGTGGCCCAGGAGTACATGTGTGATGGGGAAAAGGACTGTGCAGATGGCTCTGATGAGGATGGGTGTGCCCAGCTCTGCGACACCCCAGGTAGGAGCAGTCTGACTGCTTTCAGTTCCCTGTGCAGCTGGATCACCCTGTACTAGGGCTTCTGGCTGCTTCCTGGTGAGGCTGGTGGGATGCAGCCCTGGGAAGGTCTGAGTGTGTCCTGGGCTCTGATGCTTGTGATGTGGCATACTGGTTTATTCTGAGCTTGGCACTCTGAGGGGAGGCACCCTCAGAAGGGGACAGGTCTGCTGGCCCTGCTGCTTGCAGTGACCTTAGATGTGGCTGAGCTGAGACCACCTCAGTCACCTTGCTTGGGACCTAGATGCACTGACTAGGAGGGACCAAGTGCTGTCACTGTAGAGTGGGGCTATTTGAGGTCTCTAGGAGCCTGACAGAAGTTCTGGGCATCCTGGCTGTCTACTGCAGGCTTAGTGAGGTCCCTTGTCTCCCCAGGGGCCTTCCACTGTGCAAGCGGAGCCACATGCATTGGGGCTGGTGAGCGTTGTGATGGGGTGCCACAGTGCCCCGATGCCTCGGACGAGACAGGCTGCTGGACCCCCACACAGGAGTGTGCCCTGCGCTGCGATGCTGCCACCCGCTGCGTCCCCGAGAGCTGGCTGTGTGACGGCCACGCCGACTGTCTGGACCACGCCGATGAGCAGGGCTGTGGTGAGACCCAGGGGCTGGGTGGCACAGGGGCTTCTGGGGGTTGCCTGCCCCACAGGTGGGTGGCACCAGGTTTCCTGCAGGTCCAGGAGCCTGAGGCAACCTGCTGAGCCAGCTGGAGGGGCTGTGCCCTGCTCAGTGCCATGCCTGCACCAGTGGGATGGGGATGGGGACAGGGATGGGGATGGGGACAGTGCCCCTGCTCAGTCCTGGCCCTCCTGCAGCACCAAAGGAGTGCAGCCCGACTGAGTTCCTCTGCCGGAGTGGCCAGTGTGTGGCCCTGGCCCTGCGCTGCAATGGTGACCGTGACTGCCGGGACGGCTCAGATGAGGAGGGCTGCGCCGTGCCCCGGCCACTGCTCTGTCGCCCGGGCGAGGTGGCATGTCCCCGCAGCGGGGAGTGCGTGCCGGAGGCCTGGCGCTGCGACGGCACCGCTGACTGCGGGGATGGCACAGACGAGCAGGTGGGTGGGGTGGTGGGGACACAGCCTGTCCCTGCTCCCTCCCAGAAGGGCTGGTGGCCCTCTTCACCCTCTGCTCTCGCAGGGCTGTCCCTCGGAGGAAGGGCTGTGCGGGAACCTGCAGTGGGGCTGCTCCCATGGCCGCGAGTGCATCCCCGATGTCTGGCGCTGCGACGGAGAGAGTGACTGCACGGATGGCAGCGACGAGGCTGGCTGTGAGCAGCACCCTGCTTTTGTCCCCTCACCCAGGGGTGGTTGGTGGGTGCCCAGCACAGAGGGAGGTTGGGACGTGTCTGTGCCAAGGCGAAAGGCCCTGCGTGCTGGTTGCCTCTTCCCAGCATCTGTGGTGGCTCCAGGCGCTCTGGGTAGCTGTTGTCCCTATAGGGCTGGTGCTGTTGGGATTAGGGTAGCCTGAAGCCAGGCTGTAGGCACAGCTCTGGACATGGCTGTGGTAAGCCCTGGGCACCCTGTGGGAGCAGCTGACTCTGCTCCAGCTGAGCCAAAAGAGCTGGTGGACAAGGCTCAGGGCAGCCTTCTCCGCATGTCCCTGCAGGTCAGCCTGCTCCCTGCCAGAGTCACGAGTACCCATGTGGACTGGGGCCCTGCCTGAACGCATCCCTGGTGTGTGACGGCCAGCAGGACTGCACGGATGGTTCAGACGAGGCGGGGAACTGCTCTGTGCCCTGCCAGCGGTCCTGCGCTCATCTCTGCTACTCCTCGCCCCAGGGCCCCGTGAGTGCCAGCAGCCCTGCTCCAGGGGCTTACCCTGCCGTGCTGCTCTGGTCCAGCTGCAGGAAGGAGCCTCATGTGTCCCTAAGGGGGGAAACCCTGACTGCCTCTTTCCCCACAGCGGTGCTGGTGTCACCCAGGCTACTGGCTGGCTGAGGATGGTCTGTCATGCGTAGACATAGATGAGTGCACGGAGCAGGGTGAGGAAGCCTGCACCCACACTTGCCTCAATACCCCGGGGTCCTACAGTTGTGGTTGTCTCACTGGCTACCTGCTGGAGCCTGATGGTCGCGTCTGCAAACTCACTGGTAAGCCCTGGGATGGCCAAGGACCACTGAGGGTCCCTGGCACTCTGGGAGTACACCAGGAGCTGGTGGGTACCCATCCCTCTGTGCTGGCTGCCCATGGGGAGCCTTGTAGTCCCAGAAATGGCCCTGTTCCCTCTGCCACATGGCCTTCCAAGCCCCACTCAGTTGTGAGCTGCTGCTTGCCAGCCTGTGGCCAGTCGGAAAATCCCTCTGCCCTAGCTGGGGAACATGCTGTGTGGTAGGGCCAAGCTCCAGCAGGCTCCAATGCCTGTGAGTGTCATGTTCTCTGCCTGCATGTACTGGGGCTGTGGGGCCACCAGCACTGAGCAAGGTCTGGGTGGCTCTGTGTTGCCCCAGGACCAGAGCCCATGTTGCTGGTGGCCGTGCAGTCAGAGGTGTTGTCTTATGGCCTGCGGAGTGGGCATAAGGAAGTGCTGTTGGCTGCTGACAAGGATCGCGTTGTCTTCTCGCTCGACTATGACCTGGTGGAGAGGAAAGTCTTCTGGATGGACCTGGCCACAGAGAGCATCCGCTGGCAGGACCTCGACTCGGGCAAGAAAGGCACACTGGTGAAAGGTGGGCTGTGACAGCGTGGGGTTAGCAGGGCTGGCCTTTCTGTGGCTGTGCAATCTCCAGGTTACAGCGCGGTGCCAGGCTCTGTCCCCTTGTGTGGAGAGGTGCTGGTAGGAGCAGGGTTGTGAGGAACCAGAGCTCCTGGGATGGAGGGGACCTGGGCTGGGAGCATTGTGCCAAAGGTGATGATTCTTGGGTGTGTTGCAGGTGTGAGATCAGACTGTATAGCAGTGGACTGGCTCGGGAGGAACCTGTACTGGACGGATGGGGCAGCAGGGCAGGTGCTGGCCAGAGGAGGTGCTGTTGGCTGCTGACAAGGATCGCGTTGTCTTCTCGCTCGACTATGACCTGGTGGAGAGGAAAGTCTTCTGGATGGACCTGGCCACAGAGAGCATCCGCTGGCAGGACCTCAACTCGGGCAAGAAAGGCACACTGGTGAAAGGTGGGCTGTGACAGCGTGGGGTTAGCAGGGCTGGCCTTTCTGTGGCTGTGCAATCTCTAGGTTACAGTGGGGTGCCAGGCTCTGTCCCCTTGTGTGGAGACATGCTGGTAGGAGCAGGGTTGTGAGGAGCCAGATCTTCTGGGATGGAGGGGACATGGGCTGGGAGCATTGTGCCAAAGGGCTGTGCAGCTGTCACCCCCCAGGTGATGATTCTTGGGTGTGTTGCAGGTGTGAGATCAGACTGTATAGCAGTGGACTGGCTCGGGAGGAACCTGTACTGGACGGATGGGGCAGCAGGGCAGGTGCTGGCCACTTGCCTGGGAGCTACCTGGAGAGGGACACCAGAGTACACTGTGGTGATGGATGGAGATCTGGACCAGCCCCACTCCTTGGTGCTCCAGCCACTGGCAGGGTAAGGCTGGGACAAGAGGAAACAGGGACTTCCTTGCCATCCCTGTTCTATTTTCCTCCACAGGGGCAGGCAACAGGATGGGGAAGAGTTGGGATGACCTCAACTGGGGCTGTGCAGCTGGGGAAGAAGGGGTCCAGGCACCTGCCTCTGCCCTGGGTGGAGCTCTCAGTGCATCCCTGATGGGATGGGAAGCTCCCCGCAGTGCCTCTGGGCTGCACTGATACTGGGATGATGATGTGGCAGGTCTGTGGGCCAGCACCTCTCTTCCTGCCAGGTTGCTGTACTGGTCAGAAGTGGGGAGACACCCACGGCTGATGGAAGCCACCATGGATGGGAGTCGGCGGCATGTGCTACTGGCCCAGGGGCTGGGCTGGCCCACAGCACTGGCCCTTGACCTGCCCACACAGAGGATCTTCTGGCTGGATGAGAAGCTGGGCAGCATTGGTTCTGCACATCTGGATGGCACCAGTGTGAAGGTGTGTTGAGGCTCTGGTGATGGGGCCCTGATGGTGGCCAGCGTGGATGCTCACAGCTTCTCTGCCAGGTCCTGCAGTTGGGCTGGGTCCGGAGCCCCTTTGCGGCGGCTGTGTGTGAGGGGCAGCTTTACTGGTCAGAGAGGAAGGCATGGTCCGTGCAGCAGGTGGACAAGGACAGCGGCAAGAACAGGACCGTGCTTCTGAAGCGACATGGGCAGCCCCATGGCCTCCAGGTACCTACCCAAGGGAGCCCCAAACCCTGCTGCACCAGCCCTCCTGGGGCTGCCACCCTGCATGGCCCTGCCCTCCTCCAAGCACAGAGGCACTGGGACCTGTACTCCCATCTTGGTGGTCCTTGGGCAGCAGTCCCTGTGGTTGAGGGTTTCTGGTCCTCTTGGAGCACCTCTGCCTCACCATCCTGCCCCCAGCTGGGCTGTGTCGGGGCCTCAGGAGCATGGCGTGGTGTCAGCTGTGCTCAGCTGAGCTGAGCCTGCCCTTCCCGCAGGTGATGCACCCAGCCCTGCGCCCCGTGTCCCCCAACCCCTGCGTGTCGCGTGGCTGCTCCCACCTGTGCCTGCTGAGCGCCAGGCACGCCGGGCAGTGCCGGTGCCCCACCGGGCTGACACTGGCTGCCGATGAGACCACCTGCCTGCCCCTCCGTGATTCAGCCTTTGCTCTCCTGGTGTCACCGGCAGCTGTGGCGCAGGTACCATCCTCTGGAGCCAGCCCCTAGGGGCTGCTATCCTCGCTGCCGTCAGGGGAGCGGGGGTCCCATCCTGGTCCTGCCTCCTTCCTCCAGGTCTACCTGAAGGACCTGCCCACAACGGCTGGATCCCAAGGCTTTCCCCAGCACCGGGCTCTGCCCTTGGCCAAGGTGGGCCACCTGACGGCCATCGACTACGCAGTGAAAGACAAGAGCCTATACTTTGCAGAGGTGGGGGGTGACTCCATTGGGCTACTGCGCATGAAGGACTGGGGCCGGCTGTCCTGGAAGCAGGCGGTGGCTGTGGAGGGCATGGTGACATCCCTGGCCCTGGACTGGCTGAGCGGGAACCTGTACTGGATTGGGGGGCAGCCGCCCAGCATCCACGTGGCAGCTGCCGGGGGGCGGTGGGCCCTGGTGCTGCTCAGCGAGGGGCTGCAGGGGGCCGCCTGGCTGGCCCTGTGCCCTCGCGCCTCCACCATGTGCTTTGTCACGGCGGCTGGCAACCGCAGGCCCAGCGCCACAGTGGAGTGTGCGGCCATGGATGGCACCGGCCGCAGGGCCGTCTGGAGGAGAGCCCGGGCTCCCACCGGCCTCGCCTTCGGGGGTGCTGGCACCCGGCTGTACTGGGCAGACCGGGGTGAGTGTGGCTGAGTTGTGGCACCTGGTCTGAGGGCATGGCCCCCAAGGGGCAGCCCAGAGCCCTCTCTGCCCCCCTGCCCTCGCCATCTGATGCCCCTGCGTCTGTGCCCTGCAGAGAGAGGCACCATCAGCAGCATTGAGCTGGACGGATCCCACTTCCGTGTGGTGCGGGAAGGGCTGCACGGCCTCTCGCTCTTCGCCGTCGGAGAAGGCTTTCTGCTCTGGAGCACGACCTCAACCAACGGCGAGTCCATTTGCTATGTGCTGTCCAGATCCTCCTTCTGCACCGGGACACAGGGGTCTCTGCCAGTCCCTGTTGGGGTGCAGGCTGCGCCTCCCCAGGGTGAAAGGCAGGCTGGGGGTCCCCGCCTCCCATCCCGAGCACCCTTGTGGGAGGAGGTGGAGCAGTGCTGAACCCCATCTGTCTCCAGGCTCTAGCAAGATCTGGCACAGCCGGCTGGAGCGGGCCGAGAGCTGGTGGTTCCCAATGGAGCAGGAGTTGGTAGCCATGAGGATTTACAGCCAGTTCTCCCAGGAAGGTGGGTCTGGGGCTGGCCCAGCCTGGAGCATCTGGGGAGGGTCGAGTTGTGTCCTGTGGTGGCCATGCTTAACCCATGCTGTTTTCACAGGCACAAATGGCTGTGCGAAGAGCAACGGGGGCTGTGCCCAGCTCTGCCTGCCCAACCCTGCAGGGCGGCTGTGCCGCTGCTCTCCTGGCTACCACCTGGTGCGTGGGGTGGCATGCACACCTGCACTGCCCTGCCCGGCCCCGCTCCGGGCTTGCCCTGACCTCCAGAGCTGCATCTCTGGAGAGCAGGTCTGTGATGGGCGCCCCGACTGCCTTGATGGCTCCGACGAGTCTGACTGTGAGTGCCTACCCTCAGCCAGGGTGTGCAGGCATCCTGGCTGAGCGCAGGGGGAGCCTGCCCAGTCCCCCCCAGTTTTGGAAGGAGGGTCTCACCTGGGTCCCTGCTTCATCTATGTCCATCCCTCCAGGCCCCTCTGCGGAGGTGGGGACCCAAGTCCCCATGGTGGCACCATCAAGTACATCCCACGTGAAAGAACAGAAACCAGCCTTACCCACAGCTGCACCTAAGCCTCTGCAGCCTGGTCCCAGCCTGCCCACAGCCCCTGGCCCCCAGGAGCACGGAGAGCCCTTCCTGGTACCCCCCAGCACCGAGGAGGTGCTGGGAGCCATGCCGTGCAGCAGTGAGACGTGTAACCTGCGTGGGGAATGCGCCATCGAGGCTGGGCGAGTAAGATGCCACTGCGCCCTGGGCTACCGTGGTGACTACTGTGAGGAGGCAGAGGTGCAGCCCGTTGCTGGTCCTATTGCCCTGGGGGTGGCCGTGCTCCTGCTGCTTGCCGCTGCTGCTGTGGGGGCCCTGGCCTACATGCGGAAGCGGGACAGGCGGAGGAGGTGAGCTCTGGACTCGGGACTGGCTGGACCAGGTACACCTGGGGATGGAGGGGGACAGGGGTCTCCCCACTCAGGGGCAGCGTGGTGTCCTGGGGCACTCAACTCTGATCATCCTGGCAGGCTATTATGGGGGGTTATGGCAGGACCTTGGGATCTGCTGTGCCTCTACGAAATGGCCATGCCATCCTCAGTGTACTTTTTTTTGTTTTCCCCTCCCCAGGACTTCAAGCACTGCCTCCACCCGAGTGCTGACCTTGTACCACCGTGAAAGTGACCCTGAGGAAGAGGATGAGGAGGAGGAAGAGCTTCCCCCCAAGAGTGACACCTTTGTGAATGAAGCTTACGATGGGAAGGAGGTGAGTAGCATCTGGAGCAAGCCCTGGTAGGGACCCTCTGCCACCATGGGGTGCCCCAAAGGACCCCTGATATGCAGATCCCTCCCTAGGGCTAGTGCTGACCCGGTGCCCTCTCTTGAGGCAAGCTCTGCCCTCCTGCTGAGGGCGAGGGGTGAGACCTGGGGGTGCCTGGAGTCTGGCTGGTACAGGGGCTGTGTCACCCTCTGCCTGTGGCTGGAGCCCCTGTGCCAAGGTGTGGGGTGGGCCCAGGGAGGTTGGCTCAGACTCATCCCTGATGCACCTGTCTGTCTGTGGTCTCTGCAGGAGCTGCCAGCCCCGCTGAGGAAGGGATCATCTCACCCCGACACTGTACTTTCATAAAGGAACATTTGTGCAGCGTTTCTGGTGCCATTGTGGTTTGTGTGTGGGTCAGGGAGGGGAGGTTGGTTTGTTTTTCCCAGATCTCTAAGCTCTAGGGAACTTACAGTAGAGCAAAAGGCTTTGGGGAGGTTTTTCAGGAAGTCTCCAGCCCCAGCACACTCTGAGCTACCTGAATCCAATCTCCCACTGCAGGGTGTATCCTGTACCACCCCTTAACCACACTTAGGGCATCTCAATCCACTGTCCCCCTGCAGCAGGGCTTAGATTGCTGACCGGGGTGCTTTGGGCTCACCCAGGGTAGAAATCTGGCTGAATAGCTCAGCAAGAAAGCTGGCTCAGCCCTTGCCCTGTTGTGCAGGGTGCAGACCAGGATTTTATAGTGCAGTTCTGACCTCCTAAGTGTCCCTTATAAACCCGTGAGACCAGTTTTACCACCTCATACCAAGCTAACTATGAAAGGGGAAATATATGCTACTTTTTTGCCTGTAATTGCTTTTTTCTCCCCCTGAAGTGCCTGTGTTCAAGCAAGGAGAAACTTCTTCCAGAACACATTTTGACCATGGGCTCAAGGTCCTTGAGGAAGGTGCTATAACAGCTCCCTGTCCCCTTTTACAGACCTTTCTTCCCGGCTTCAGGCCAAACAGGGGGGAGCTGGGTTAGCCAAGCCCACTGGCTCTCAGCCCAGCCTGCCTGGCAGAAAGCCCATAACCATCCCACAGCACAGACCCGTTCCTCTTCATTTATTTTGCTGTTTGCAGAGAGATGTGGGAGGTGCTCCCCTCCCCTATTCCCAGCCCTGACAGCTACATGGTGCTAACCTGTACCTTGCTTACATGGGAACACCAGAGCTCCCTTTGTCCAAGCTGCTGCACGGTGCAGGAGGATGAGCTTAAAAGTCACACGGAGGGACTGGAGCCAGGGCTGGTCCTCAACCCAGCACAGCTTTGGCACACTTGTGGGACCTGGAGTGCAGCTGGCTTTTGAGGAGGTTGCAGAGATTCAAGCCAGGTCCTTGGTCTTGTTTCCAGACTGCTGTGAGGTGCCCCAAGAGAAGGGCATGGCTTGGAGAAGCAGGGGCCAGTGCCACTCTCAGCACCAGGCAGGAGGGCTGGCCAGTGCCCACTGCTGTCCCTGTTGTGGGGTTTACAAATCCGAGTCACAAGGCAGGGTGCTCCTCTGGTCTTTTCTGTCTTGCTCATCCCCCAGCACATTCCAGGGATTGCAGTAAGCGCTAGAGGTGGACCACGGCCCCGCATCCAGCGAAGAGCTGGGGGGCAGTTTGGGGGCCCTGCGCTCCTTGCAGCAGTGGTGGAAGCTGAGGGTGAGGGCCAGCCCCCCCAAGATCTCCAGACAGCTTCCCAAGTAGCTCAGCACCAAGCTGTAGCCTGCAACCAGCGTGCCCCCATCTGGTGCAGGCAGTGCCCACAGCTCGTGGGTGTACCAGGAGGCAGGCACCAGGCTCAGCAGCCCCGAGAGGAGCAGCATAAGCCCAGCCACACCAGCCAGCAGATGCCGTGGCTCCTTCTGCCAGCAGCGAACCCCCAAGGAAGCCACCATCAGGCCCAGGAGGGTGAGAGCCATGGAGGTGGGCATCATCCCTTGGGCCACCCGCACGGGCAATTGCTCAAAGTAGCCCAGCTCATCAGCCTGCCCACAGAGGCGGTCGTGGCTGCTCTGCAGCTCTCTGCATATGTCCCAGATGCCCTGCTCCAAGACAAAGTCAACGGGCTGGTTGGAAATGTGGCTCACCTGCCTCCAGTTGGGTGCCACTGTGCCCGTGAAGGTCAGCAGGAGCCCGCAAGGGCACAGCACCATCCCCACGATCATCTCTGTCGGCGTCCGCATGCTGGGGAGGTGGGTGAGGCAGGCTCCCGTGTGGGCTTCCAACTCCCGTTCCCGTTCGCCGGAGCCAGAGAGGTCGCAGCGGGGGGACAGGGGGGGTCTCCAGGGGAGCTGGGTCTTGCTGCTGCCACCCGTCACCTGGGCAGAAGAGGTGGCACTGGTGCCCCAGAGCTGCTTGGTGCTGGCAGGGCAGTAGTCCCAGAGTGCCCTGTACGGTGGGCAGCCCGCGGAGCCGGGGCGGGCCACCCTGTCCCGGCTGTGCTCAGGGCTGCGGGGAGGTGCCAGCGGCAGGAGGAAGTGCAGGCAGGAGAGGCGCAGGCAGGAGCGGCGCAGGCAGGGCTGGGGTGCAGGAGCCTCCAGGCACCACCACCAAAGCTCTGCTGGAAGGGAGCAGGGCTGGGATGTGGGGAGCAGTCAGCCACCCCCGGGGTGCAGGTGGTGCTGGGAGGTCTTGGCGTCACCCCAGGGCTTGGCAGCGCTCAGTCCCTACTCCTCCTTGCTGGGGAAGCAGAGAACCTTGTTATGGATCCCTTGGTTAAACTGATTTTTGCTCTCAACTGAATTAATTTATGAAAATCATTAATTAAGATGAAATGCTAGCAGCTCTCAGAGTTGGTAAGGACCCCGTGGTCCCCCCCAGGCCCAGGAGACCTTCCCACCCCCAGCCTTCATCTTCTTCGTCTTCATCCCAGCAAGTATCTCCCTTTCCTTCAGGGATTGCTCCTGAGTTTGGCCCTGCTCTTCCCTTCCCAGGCTGCGCTCAGAGGCCACCCGCAGGTGCAGCAGCCAGCAGGCTCTTTGTTGGAAAAGTCCCTGGGACATCCACTGAAACAGGTATGGGAAGTCATCGCATTTGAGAACCCCTATGTAGGGTTTTGATCCCCAGAAAGCACTGGTCTTGGGACTCTCCAATTTTCCCTGAATTTCTGCCAGTCATGCTGAGCCCAAAAGAGGGCAGCATCCTCTGTGGATTAGTTTGGGATAAACAGCCCCAGCTGACCTGGAAGGCTGACTGCACCTTTGTGCCCCACAGCATCTTTGCATTGCTGGTCTTGTGGCCTCGGCCACCTGGAGGGCTGGGTGGGCCAGCTGCTCCCCATCTCCCTTCCCCAGTCCTCCATCCTACAGCTATTTCCCTGAGGGCCCCTGAAGCCCTTCTGGTCTACGGGTGCCGGATCCTTTTGGAGACGGATAGCGGAGCTGTTGGTCACTAGATCTCAGCCCAGCTGGAAGGGAGGGGTGGGTTGGACTCAGCCAGTGGCTCGTGCCCCCAGCTGAATTTGCAGGGCAGCAACACTGACAGCCAGCTTTGTGTAGCTCCAGACTGGGGACACCTGGATTTGTCATACGCAGCTAGTAGTTTGCTAAAATTTGGCACTCCTCAGCTGAGAAACTAAGCTAGGGCTTGCTGTTTCTCTTTCTGTCCCATTAGCTCTTTTAACTTCTCCCCTGCTCCAGCTATTGACCCCACGCCAAGCCACCTGTTACTGCCCTTGGAGCTGTGGGTCCAACCAACAGACCAAATGCTGCCTGCCTGATGCGTTGCCCAAGGTTGCCTTCTGCCATGGGACCCCTACCCCTGATGGGAGCAGGCACTGAAAGAGCCCAAAATCTTCTAGTTCTGACTCTCACAGGAGGCTGTATTTTCCTTTCCATTTGGACACAAGATGGAGGTTGGCTGTGAGAAGACATAGTCCTCTTGGAGGAGAGGGAGGTGGAGGGAAAGGAAGGCTGGGTGGCATGGTGGGTCCTCCAGAGCTCAGGAGGTTTTTACTATGATGACAAAACACAGCTTGGTGGCAATGCTAGCAGGTAAATCAGTGGTCACCTATGGACCAGCCAGACTGAGATGTAGCTGTGAGCAGGTGGGAACAAGCCCTGAACCCTGCATGGCTGGTGAGGGCTTTGCTCCCTGTCCCAGACCTGTGAGTGGGGCATGCACCAGCCCTGCTGGAAAGGGAGAAATTCTGCGTCTTGTTGGATTTGCCCCCAATTTTCCCAGACAGGCCAAAAAATCTAGAGGCCTTCTGCTTGGGATGCAGGGGGTGCCACAGGTGCCCCCACCCTGGGTTTTGCAGTGCCTGCCCTAGGGTGTCTTTCCCAGAAGCACCTTCCTTCTCCTCTCATCTGTCCCCCCAGTGATGTTCTGTCCCTCACTCCCACAGGCTTGGTTTTGGGAGGTGGTCACTACCTGGATCTGCAGCAGTGAGCAGAAGCTGGGTGCCAGGAGCCTTACAATTAAGCGCTGGGATCAGGTTTAACAACCTAGACCTTTCTAATGTATTAATAATGATGCCCAGGAGGATGCGTCTGCCCTTTGTGCTGGTGCCCAGGCTCCTGATTGCGGGGCAACAACAAACAGATTAGGTGATGTGGCCCTGAGGCTGGATGACCCCCCTGAGTAAACTCGGGGAAGGAAACGGGATTAACAGAGCTGTTTCCCGATGCCATAAAGTTATAGATTGTTCATTTCTTCCCTTTTACTTTCTAACGAGGTGGTATGAAAAGCAATTCAAAGGCGAGCCTGGCCCTTTCCAAGCTCTGAGGAAGCATTTAAAGCCATCTGGTCTTAGAGATAAAATGGTCTAGCTGAAACTGCCTTCCTTTCCACATTTCCCTAGCTGCTGGGTGGGGAAAGCCACCTTACTTGGTGTTTCCTACTTCTCCAAGGCTCTGACTAAGTTTTTCCTACCTTGGCAAAGTCATCTCTTCAAGAACGTGATGGAAACTTTATCCAGGCCTGGTTGAGTTGGCTTGCTTTTTATTATTATTATTATTATTTTTTAACCCCTCTTTGTTAATTGGAGGAGCAGCAGAAGACCTTGAGCTAACTGGAACTGGAAAAGATCCAGGGCAGGATGGTCAGAGCTTGAGATCAATTCCAAAGGAAAAAAAAAAATAATAAAAATCTATGGTGGGCTATTGAGTGGTTGCTGCTTCCATCCTCAGATACCCCACATGGTTGAAGGCTGGGCATGCATCTAGGGCAATATTGCTGTGTTCAGCCTGTTCCCTGCCTCCCTGTTTGCCTGCTTCCAGACACTGATGGTGACAGGATCCTGGACTGGACAAATACTAGTGCCTCTTAGGTGACAGTGGCTCAGTGTAGGATCAGTGGGGATAGGACTAGTGGTTTTTGGGTTACACCGTTGTCACACCACCTGAGCAGACTTGGCCATAATAGCTGGGCCTTGCCTGATGTCAGAAATGGCCACAGCTGGGGAACACATGCATGCAACAGTCTCCAAAGCTTCCTCTGGGATCCATAGTCTGATCCAGACTCCCGGGTCCAGCTGAGCTTTACAAAAGTGGCTCTGGAGAGGAGAAGAGCTTTCCTGCACAAAGACAGCTCTGCCCCTATGCTGTCTGCCGAGCTCATAACACCGAGACCATGGAGGAATCACCTATTTGCGAGGGGGCTACTCTGACTCCCTTCCCCTCCCCACTATAAGGCTTGTCCTCGGCAGCAGCAGCAGGATCTCTCAGCATCCTGTTTGCCGTGCAGGGGGGAGCCAGGGCTGGGGCTGTTCAGCAGGAACCTGCAGCTGGTAATTCCTGTTTACATCCCACTGACCCTGGGGCTTCGCCGGCGTCGCATACGGTAAGTTCCCCCCTGTAACACCACACTGCCTGCATGTCAGGCAAGGTATGTTGTACCTGACTGCTTCTCAGGTTCAGAGTGGCCTCGGCCCATGCTGGACACGGAGCCACGTGGCAGTCAGGTCTGCGGACATGGCAAATGGCAGTGCGTGTGCTGTGCTTCCCTGGGCTGCCCTATGTCTGGCAGGTACCCAGCAGGCACAACGCTGGGCTCTGGATGTGTGTCCTTTGCCCTCTCTCCCATTTTAGGAGACTGTGCTTCGCAGAGCCTGGCAGCCCCCTGTGTCCTGCCTCCTCTAGGAGACAGGGCCTGGCTGGGAACCCCACAGGAGCGCACTTGGGAGATTGCAATTTCCTCTGGTCTAGCCCCTTGGACAGGCTCGCTGGCCACCTGTTTGTCTCTGTTGAAACCCTGAGTCCCTGCAGGCTGGGAGCAAAAATGGCTCAAACAGCCCGTGCTGGGTTTTTTAGCCTTAGACCTGGTTGTCTAAGCCTATGGGAAAGTCTCATAAAGTCGGGGTTCAAGGACTTGGTTCTGATCGTTCCATTTTGCTGCTTTTTCTTCTAGAATTTGGAGTGTGAGAGTTTCTGGGAGTGCAAAATGAGGGTTCCCCATTGACGACTCCTTGCTTTCAAGCCACAGCCCAGGAAGCGTGTGAGCGCAGCCGGGACACGCTCTGCATTGTGCAAACAGCTGCAGCTGCAATGGGCTTCTCTCAGACCAGCTCCCAGCTTCCTCCCTGGACGGACACACTACTGTCTTTGTGCCTGCCTGGAAGCCAAGGACGAGACCCCAGGCGAGACAGGGTCTGTGGTCCTCCTTGCTGGCTGAACGTGGAACAGACGTCTGTGTGTCCTTCCCAGAGGCAGTGGTGGTTGGCACCCAACATGCAGCTCCATGCCCCAGCTCTCCAGCCTTTGGGGCATGATTTCTGCAAGCAGATTTATTAGTCTTCCATTTGCCCATTGACTTGCTACCCTAAGACTGGCCATAGTGGTGACAGCAGCCCCCAGGAGGCACTTTAGAAGGGTTATCGGAGACCAGGGGGTGTGTTGGGTGTGCAAGGGCTTGCAGACCCCATGCTGGCAGGTCCCACTCCAGGCCTGTGAGCCAGCAGTGGCTTATCACACTCAGGGCTGTGGCCCCTAGGAGTCTTGGCCGTTCCCACTGCTCAAAACTCAGCGTGAGGGAGCTGCACACAGCGTGCAATTTGGGGGCAGCATCCCGTAACGCCTGCAGGGAGCAGTAAATCCTTCAGTGAGCGCTCTGTTTCTGCAGCCCAGCTGTGGCTGAACACTATTCAGGCTAGATCCTGGGAATGAGTTGTTGAAAGCCTCGTTAGATGCCCCCCAGGTATTCACTCAGCCGTTAAGCTCCCTCACTTCCAAACTGCTGCACTTGGACTTGCCAGATTGCCTAGTGCTGCTTCTGAGTATTTGCTTTCAGTTCAGAGAACGATATAAAAAGCCTTTTTTGCAGCTAGATCTATTTTTGTCTGACTCAATACTGAAATGGTTGAGAGTGATTTGGACATGAAGCTCTCGTGCTGGGTTTTGGAGATGCAGCCTTTATTCAGACAGGGAGAAGAGAGCAGCTGAAGCTCCATCTGGCCGTGGAAATTGCATGTTTGTCCAGCTCCTG